CAGGGCATTTTTTAAGAATTCGTCAGTGGGGGGGCCATCTACAAAAAGGGACCATATACTATACTGAGTGTGGAGCAATGATAGATGGTTTGTTGGTAACAAAAAGTTTGGTGTGGTATCGCATTTAATAGTAGGGGGGAAGAGCAGGGCCGTAGGAAGCCCTTTTCGTTTTGGGGGGGGGGCTGAAAGCGAGGGCCGAAGGCCCGAGGAAATTTTTAATTTTAGAGTCTCCGAAATGCCATTTCCTGGACTTTGGGGAAGATTTGACAGATTTCTGATTGTCAGAAAACAGCGTTTTTAGTATGTGGAAATTTAGAATTCAGTAGTACTAAATGGACGAAGGTGTATTTAATTAACGATATATTGGATAAGATGCAGGAAAGTATGGGTAATATCTTCATTCTTTGCAGTTTGTCATGGATTAAATAATAAAGGTCTGCATGATTTTGAAAAATGAATGATTATTAGCAAATTATTGGGGGGCTGCAGCCCCCCCCCCCCGCGGTTGCTACGGCCCTGGAGAGGGTCTGGGGTTTTCTCCCCCAGAAAATTTTTGTATTTTTCTACCCGTATGACTGCAATTCCCTGCATTTTCTGAAACAGATTTTTGGATATACAGCATTACATTATGCTGTAGATAGACTGAACCTTCAGTTAAGTACTTGCATAGTATGTTTATGTAGATACCACAACTTGGCCGTCACTTAGGGAGCCAGCTTGATAAACTTAGAGTTCCCGACTCCCACGAAGCGCGACCATGGTTGGCACAGAGCGGAAAATTTTTGAAAATTTTGCGTCTCTAAATCATCGGAAATGGCATTTTCAAAGTCTTTTATACGTCTTTTGTTTGGCCCTTTCATTAATTCGTTCATTATGATTTGTGAGTCTATGATATCCGCGAGTCAGGATGGATTATTACGAGAAATGTTATCAAAATATCGATTACAGATATTTGATTATATGTATATATGATTTCAAATACTTCTAGTTTCGAAATCAAATTGGTTTTTTTTTTGGTGGGGGCCAAAATTATCCCCCCCCCCTCCCCTTATAAAACACTTGGTTGAGGGCCTGTTGCCCCCTGCGGTCACTAACTTGTCCAACAACTCAAACTCTATAGGGTCTGGGAAATGCAATCCACTGCCTGGGAAATGTTTAAAATCTAATAAGGTATTTATTAAACATAAAAGACAGGACCATAAGATTCACAAAGCAAATTTCAGTTACTAGAATATCAAACCTCCCTTCTAAATTCCATGTTTTGCTTATATTTTAGAGAAAATGGACTTTGACTGGGGG